GAGCCAGTTACCCAGACAGCCATTCTCCTTCCACAGGAGGAGCCGGGAGGGGTCCATCCCTCACATTGCACCCCAGGGCCTGAGACCCCCTAAACACATAAAGGTCCAGATGATGACTGGAGCATCTCTTTTCCCCAAGGAGAGCAATCCATAAAATCCTGGGTTATCAATATGTTTCCAACATTCCAAAAGATATGTTTCCCACTGCTCCCAACCACTGGCCTGCCATCTTTGGCATCCTCTCTCATTCATGATGAGTATGTCTCAGAATGGAGACTTTGCACCTGTACATCCCTCTCCCTGGAGGCATTTTCTCCTAGAGACTCAGTATAGCTTTCTTTCCTCCTCCTCCAGGTCTATACTCAAATGTCACTTCCAGTAAGGTCTTCCCCAACCTGTGATTCTGCAGATCCCCTTTCCTATTATGTTATTTATAGTCCTCTTGTCCACCTGAAACTTTACATTAATTTGTCGTCTGTCTCCCCTGTTCCATGAGAGCAAAGACTTTTCAGTTGTTCCTTACTATATCCACAAGTACATTCAAGGCACTAAATAAATGTTTGTTACAGGAGTGAATGAATGAATAAATGAATCAATCAGAAGACAAGTCAGTTGCAGTTTAGGCAAAAGGAAATAGAAATGGAAGTAAGCTGGAAACCTACAGGACCAAATCTGTGTTCCAACCTGTGACATGTCACTGTCCCTATATGCCAAGCACTATTCTAGGTACCAAGAAATCAGCATGAACAGAACAGAAAACCATGCCTTGTTGGAGCTTACTTTCAATGGCAAAAGACAGAGGGTAAAAAAAGAAAAAATATATATACACACACACACACACACATTATTTTAGGTAGAAATAAGCTCTGTGGGGAAAATTTTAAGCAGGAAAGTAGAATAAAAAACTGTAGTGGGAAGAAGCGGTGTGCAATTTTAGAGGAGTCACAAAAGTCCTCATTGGAGAGGTGACCTTTGAGCAGAGACCTGAGGAGGTGGCAGCATGAGTCAGCAGCTATCTGGAGGAATTGATCTTCAGACAGAGGACATGGCGCTGCCTGGAGTGTGTGAAAAACAGTCAGGAGGACCATGGCTGGAGGAAAGAGAGAGCCAGGGAGAGAATTTGAAAATGAGGTCAGATTAGTAATGGGGGTGGGGAAGTGTGGCTGGTAGGCCAGTGTAGGGACTTCTACTTTCAGAGTGGAAAGGGAGGACTGGAAGAGCCAAATGGAAGTCAGGTAAGACAGAAACCTGATTCTAGTCCTCACCCATGACCCTACAAAGTGGGCACCATCCTCAGCTCAAAGAACACCAAGAAGCAGGACTTGTTCTCCCTCTCCAGCCTCTCCCAACAGTCCTTCCTGTGAGGGAGCTCTGTACTTACTGAAATTACATTCCCCTGCTTCAAATAAAACTTATTTCCTCTGAGTCTAAACCTAATAAACATTTTAATAATTACATTTGGGGCTTTCTAGTTTACAGAATGCTTTAGGTACATCCTTTTATTTAATCTTACAACCTACCAACACAGAAGATAGTATCTTCATTTTATAAAAGAGGCACATAAAGCTCAGTGAACTTCAGGAACTCAGCCAAAGTTACACACTCTGGGAGGGACAGATTCAGATCTCCTATCCTGCTGCTTCACCACAGCTGAGAAGCACCTTCATTTTTAGTGATTCTCAAGTGCTTTATAAAAAAATGCATAGTACTTCCTTGGTTTTGTGAGTGACATACAGACAATCTCATAGACGCTGATTTTTACATATGACAGAAGCTAATTTAACTGTCACTTCTAAGTGTGAGTGTGGCACTTAGAGCTTGCTGAAATTTAGTACTCATGAATATATTATTAAAATAGACTGAAGAACCTAATTCCATTATGTACTGAGAAGTCTGTCTGCTGCACAGCGCTCAGAAGCAATGCAAATTTCCCACTGAATAGCAAACGGAATTCCTGCAAGGTTAGAATGAGTGGAGGACATAACCCACTAGGTCTTCACCCCACCTAAGTGTCACCCAGAGGCGAAGAACCACAGCTCTAGGACCACTGTTCCACTCTTTCTTACCCCCAATCAAACCAAAAAAAATTTTCCAGTCTATAGTCTCTCATGCAGAACACAAGTTCTGTCAGATTGTAACATGGGAAAAAGCTTGGATTTCTCTGTGACCCAGAAGTCCTCTGCTGCTTTGACCTGAAACACAGTCCCCAAGACCAAAGGGAACAGACACTGGGCCAGATAGGACAGAGAATCCCATCTAATGGATATCATGTGACTTGGCAACTGGGGCCAGACTGGGTTGTGTAAAGAGAAAAGTAAAGTGATTATTAGATCAAATTTATCAGCTGTAGAAAAATACTGATCTCTGGCAAAGGAGCCTATTTGGAATTAGAACCACATAAGCAACTTATTTTTCTTTCTTATGACTAATATGTTTGGAATTTGTCTTTATTAAATATTTCCCTAAATCTCCAGGTTAGGAAATAGTTCTCAGGTTTTTGAAAAATTCCTCCAATGGGTAATTTAGCAAGGGTTGGTTTGAGGGACAGGGAGTGAATTTCTGATCAAATCCAAGATGAGGTGTGTGCTCCGGCTAGCCCTCTTAATCCACTGTCCTTCCTGGCACCTTCATTGTCTCCTCTCTGCCTGACCTACTCTAGAGAAGCTGTTTCCTCCCCATCTGTACACTCACCAGGCACAGTTCTAGGACACAACTGTGAACAGACCCCACACTACAATCCTTCCAGATGTGTGAGTGTAACGAAGAGCCTTTAAACCGAAACACGGAGGCCAAGTTCCAATCTTCTCTTTGACTGATGGTCTCTGGGACTTTTCTGAAAAAAAATTTCTAAGGTGTCTGCTGGCTCTAACACACTATAATCCTGATGATTCTCCCAGACCAATTCTTAGAAATAATTTGGTAGGCAAAACAGGGGAGACCAGTGGTGTGAATGTCCTGTGACCCAGGAGAAATTCTGTGATTTAATTTTTAAAAAAAAGTACTGAAAAGAGATCAAAATTCTCTCTATGTAACTGTTAATTAATCCTTCATGATCAAAGAAGTTTGGACAGGTGACAGCTGAGGCTACTGAGGTGTCACCTATTACTCTGGTTCGATGGATAGAAACTCCAGAGACCTGAGAGTGAGACCCAGCTCAGCCCTCATTGTCTTACCCACTTTTACCTTCAGGGACATCATCTGTGAGACGGATCTAATAATACACCTCACGGAGTTGGTTGCAGCATTTGTTGAAGTAGTAAGAGACACCAGTTGTTTGTCAAGTAGTATTCATACACATGGTAGTCACCTAGGATTATTATGATCTTTTGGCTCCACAATGAGTTCAGAACCACTAGTCCCCCAGGCTTCTGAGTCGGTGGCACTTGCTCCAGCCATAATGTCCTCCCCCCTCCAACTGAGGCAGAGTCCTATTGTGATTGACTTAACCTGAGCCCTACAGTTATGTTTCTGCTCACAATGATCATTTGGCAGCTCACAGAAAAACCAAAATGATTCCTTTCTCCCTGCAAAAATACAATCCTAAAGCAAGATGTGGAAGGAAGAAATAGCAGGTTGAGATAATAATAACAGAAAACCTAGGGACTTTCCTAAATGTCGACACTCAGAAGATAATAGACATCAAACAAGCTGCCACAATATAATGCTTAGACCTCAGAAACCCTTACAAAGTTCTGTCTCCAGCTACCCTTATTCTGCCCCACCCACCCTTTCCAAACAGATGAACCAGACTAATAGGGGCATATAGTTTCGAGGTTTTTTGTACTGAGACCTAGAGTTGTGCCTGAACAGCGCAGCTCATCTTTGGAAGCGGTACTGAACTCATCGTGGAGCCACGTAAGTTGTGCAAGTTACTGTAGCTAGGTGTGCATATACCCTTAGAGTTGTTGGAGCCCAGTACTGAATGAACAGAGCTTCTTGGGAAGCTGGAAGGTTCTAAATTAGAAATCCATCGTTTGTTGCAAAAAGTCAAGGTAAAAGTTGAGGGAAAGTATATTAGGGTTCTATTAAGAAAATATTCTGTGTATGCTTGGAAACTCTGTGCTAAGTCTTGGTATTGATAAGTTTTCTATGACCATCTAAAAAATTGCTAGGTCAAGCTTCTGGTTCTGACCTCCATGAATAATAAATTTGCAAGCTCTAGATCAGGAGGGTTTCTCCACTGTTTTTGAGGGAAGAGTCATGGTCACAGCATAGGAAGAAGGAGTGTTAGAAAGAAGAGAAATATTATGAAAGAGTTAAATTAAAAGGCTCTCTTTCTCTCCTCCCCCCCCCCCCCCCCCCCCCTTCCCATTCCTTCCTTCCCCCTTTTTTTTTTTTTTTTCTGAGAATGTGCAGTAAATCATCTTGGCTTTCTCAAACTGAATGATCCCCAAGGTCCCACCCTAGCCTGGGTCTGCAGAGAGCAGTTACATGCTCGCTTCTTGTTAGCCCTGAATGTGGGGACTCTGCACAAGGGTCCAGGAACCCACATCTGATGTAGAAACACAGCCACAAACTTTAGAACAATAGAGACGTAATGGTGCTATCCTGAAGACAATGTCCACTGGTAACCTGTTCCAGTCTTTGGAAATCCAGGGGCTATATTCAAGTAGTTTGGCTGCCAGCAGTCAATCACTGGGACCAGGCCAGAGAACAATAATCTTTCAGATGATTTCCAAAGTGACAAATCCAATGGGTCAGGTGTCACTTCCTGCATGGTTAGACAATAATTTTGTTTATTTGAGAGGGAATAAAGAAGTGGGTAAAGGAACACGAACGTGGTAAGGCCATCTGACAACCCCAGTGGTGACCAGTACTGCCAACATGGTCTCTGCCTCTCAGAGGATAACGTGAACTTGTAGGGACTTTCCTAAATGTTGACGCTCAGAAGATAATAGACATCAAACAAGCTGCCAAAATGTAATGTTTAATCCCCAGAAAACCCTTACTAAGTCTCCAGCTATCTTCATTTCATTTCCTGTTTCTTCCAGAGAAATAGTAGAATTTGGTGAGTTTTCTTAACTTTGAGGGGAGAGAGATTAGAACAATGAAAAGAAGGAGGGAAACAGAATCAGGTTGTAGCTGATTGCAGTCTGATTGATGTTTGGCAAATTGCATCTGAGCAAAAAAGTATTGTGTTTCATTTTCCCTTTAAATCATATCCACTTGAAATTCAGAATTATCTGCAGTGTTAGAATCAAATCTTGAGGCTGTGCCTTTGGGAGTCTTAGGGAAAAAGGAAATTGATGAAATTGATGCTTAGCTTCTCTGTTGGGACACTGACCACACTTCTCAAGGATGCTCCATTTGCTTCTCCGGTTTTGCCTTCCTGCAGAGATGGAGTATAATATGATGATGGGAAGCTCAGGTGGGGGAAGTGAAAATTTCAAATCAAGTCCCCAGTCCTTAAAGTTTTGACAGAAAATAATGGCTCTACAAAACTGTCATTCTCTTCTGCCCAGCTCTTTCTCTAGACTCTTGAGTTTGGGTGATGAGAAAGAGTAATCCTCATGGTCTTTAAGTTCTGTTTCACATGATTACAACACACTCCTGAGACTCAGGTCTGGATCCAGAATCAGGAGAAATTATAAAACAAAAATGAACAAGCCAAAGCAATCCCCAGCTTTTCTGACCTGCATCCACAACACACAGCACCAAAGGGATCCCCCAACAGCAACCAATTTCTTACTCAACCCTCAGGTCCTTAGAAAGCTTTTCATGAGGCTCAGGGAATTTGAAAGCAGATTCTTTATTATTGTGAGACTCACTGTGAGTGATGGGCAGAAATTAGGTTTCTAATCAAAAAAAAACAGCATTTGTAACCCAAGAGAAGGGAACCAGAGAATAAGAACAAGACTGTTGCTCAGCCCTCCTCTCCTTGGCATAGCATTCATTATAATAAATGCCAATATCCAGTGCCCCATCTCTACACCAAACTATAGTGTTCTTCTTGGAGAGCCCTCTCAATAAGTTAAGTTTTCCATCTTGAAGGCAGATAACGGTCATCTAGCTGACAACTTTCCCTTCCTTGTCTCAACTCTGTCCCTGAATCTTTTGGATGGGGACTTGGAGCTCAGTTTCCCATCAGCAGTTCGACTATTATTAGCTTCAAAGGGAACTGAGACTCTACTCAACCCCTGGCCTCATCAAGGGCATCTTTGTAGTTCTATGAGCTGCCAGGTCTCTAGGTTGAGACACAAGACTGGGGAGGCAAGGCGCAGATGTGTGAGTCCAGGCCCCAGGACCAGCCCCAGGCTGGTTACCCGTAAGGCAGTGTCACAATGTGCTCCTGGGACACCCGACAGATGTTTTTTGGAACTGGCACTGAACTCTTCGTGGAACCCCGTGAGTTGATTTTTTTCCCCTATGTTTCTATGAATAATTTGAGCGCTGGGACTGGGGCTGCTATCCAGTTTATGTAATAAATTATAACAAGTAGATTAACTTGTCACTAGGAGATGGTATGGTACAGAGGTGAAGTGGGCCAGAGTGAAGACACTGAGCCACTGAAGAAACTCTGTAGCTATTTTCATTTTAAATATATGTATACTAAAACACAGTCCCCACTTACCACTGAAATTTTCAGTGTGACCCAGAAAATAAATCTGAGAAAAAATTTTTTTTACTAATAGTTGGAGCATTCAGGTACAGGGAAGATAGTGACAGGAACACTTTGGCACAAATTCTCCAGGAAGTTGCTTAATCCTAAACATATCCCTGACTAATATGCATGCCTCCTTGCAAATCACAAATGTTCTTCAGCTTGTGAGATCTTGGGAAAAGGTGGTTAGCTTGTTAGAGTAATCAGGTACAGCAAACTTTCAGAATTTAAGTGAAATTTCATATTGGCAGACAGTCTTGAAATTCTGAGTGATATTGATTACAGATGTTGTGATTCTTAGAGGACCAGGAAGATTCTTAATGTGAATCTAAAATAGAAGATATCTAATATCATAAATTAAGAAAAACTGTTCAGGAAGGGTATATACTTCTGTATTATTTGCCAACACATAATCTTAGCATTATATTATTACTCATAAAAAAAGAAAGTACAAAAACAAAATAACAATTGTCCAAATTGACTCTAAACACATAGTGAAATTTAGTTATATTCATGGAACAAGAAGAGACACTAGTCTCAGAAGATAAACAATTAAACCTTTTGTTCAAATCTTACATAAGAATAAATCTTGTCTTAAATTTTATATGACTTCAAATTTTTGTGTAAGTCAAATATAAAGGCAACAAAGATACATATGGCAACTACATTGAGTGCATTGTATTTATAGTTAAAAAAGAAAGGTTCAGTTCATTCAGAGAGCCTTTTCTTTGGTTACCATGATACCAAGTAATGGATCAAATAAAACACTTTTCTCTCAATTATTTTGAACATATAGACATTAAGTTAGAAAGAGAATCTGAAGAAAAAAAATGCTTTAAAAACTCAGTGCGTTATGTTCTTTCTGAAATGCTGAGTAATAGATTCAGAGCTCAGTATCATGAGTGCATGAACTTCAGAAATCTATCTTGTCAGCTATATTACATGGTTCAAATTAATTAAAGCCAGGTGTGATAGTGCATGCCTGTAATGCCACGGACTCAGTGGGGCAGAGGCAGGAGGATCACAAGTTCAAGCCAGCTTTGACAACTTAGTAAGACCCTGTCTCAAAATAAAAATATAAAAGTGACTGGGAACGTAGCTCAGTGGTAGAGAGTCCCTGGTCTTAAAACCCAGTACTGAAAAAAATTTATTTGAAATCAATTTCCCCAACCCAAAGTGATCATTGGCAACTGCCTGATTAATTTAGACTTTTAAATCCTAAGCAAGCCTTTATTGTCCAAATAAATCAGACTAGGATTGGGTCATCCTTTAAATAACCAAGAAGACAGTGTTGGAATGTTTTGTTGTTGCTCTTTGGGGGGTTGGTTGTTTGTTGTTTGGGTTTTCTTTTTTTATGGGCAAATATCCTTTCTAACTCATAATTCCCTTGAAAACCAACCATTCTACATCTCAAACCCAAGGCAGGATGGTGAACAAGAAATACCACAGTTGCAAAGGAAGGTGAGTGGTGAGGCCTGTGGTTTCCAACCGTTAGCACTAGGGTTATCCGTTTCTGCTATCAGGGTTTCAGCTATGCAAGAAAACAGAACAGTGAAGGTTTTCTCATGCAGGTTGAAAGCCAGTTCCAGGAAAGCCCTTTGAAAAAAATCCCAATCTCCCCTTTTGTCTAGAGCTAAAGCCAAAAAAGGATGAGTTTCCAGCCCTGAGTAACTGGAACAGAATACAGTCTTTTGGCTGAGCTTCTTGGCAGAGAAAAAAAAATGGAGAATTTTGATAGCAGTAATGAGGGGGTTTCCTCTGAACAGCTTATTCCCTAGAAAAGCCCTGAACAGCCAAGTTTATCTACTAAATGATGCTCAGCAGGAACTTCCTGACCAGCAATCACTCCCTCTCAACCAGTTGCAATCAGGAGATCTCTTCTAGTTTCACAGTCATGAGCCACACAGCAGAAGCTCAAATCCAGATTCTGGGCAGAGCACTAGAAAAATCTTTCTTTCTCTGTCTACACATTCACCATCAAGACTTTCCTTCTAGTAATACCCAATTTCTTGCTTGTAGATCACAGAAAAGAAAAAGCACACTAGAATTCAACATGTTTTTCATTGGATATCAAGAAGTCAAACACTCCAAAATTATCAATACTAAGCCATATTCATAAGAGCAATTAACATTGAAAATCAGAAATGAAGCTTAGGATTGAAAATACATCCATATTGCCATGCTCAGGTTGATTTTCTTTCCTAACTCCAGGTACTAGCAAGTCTCCTTCTTTAGGAGATGGTATGAGATAGCCTACGAGTTTCCAAGTTTCCATGGACACAAAATTTATCACAATTCAGAAACTTCAATAAGGCACAGTGTGAAAAAAAATCATTACTACATTTCTCAAAGCTTCAAGACTTTCAGTTTTAAGGAAAGAAAAAGATGCATACACAGAGTAGCAGATAGATGATAGTTCAAGGTAAGGCATGAAAGAAGACAAGGCCAGTAGGGGACCCAATTACTGGGACCAACATTCCACAGCTCCTCCTAGAATAAAACAAGAAGAAACGGGCTTAAGCTAGTTTTATGCCTGTAAGTACTTTCTGAGAATAATAGTTGCTATTCTCTGATTAAAGACTTAAAAGGGATTTCAGAGTAGTCAGATCCTTCCAAAAAAATAAATATACAATACTGAAGGCAAAGAGATATGCCACTCAACTTCAGCAGATCCTTTCCAGTCCATAAAATGGGGATGACCCCCTGCAGTGACTCCAACACTTCTATTCTCAGAGTGTCTAAACCCATCATACAGACCTTCTCAGACTCTTGATTCTTCAAGTGACATAATGCATAGCATAAAAAAAAAAAAAACCTAACCCAATCTCCCTCCAAGGGTCTTATGCATTTAAAATAAACCTACTGAGGTAGGCACATATGTAGCCTGAACTCAACTGTCCAGAGGATTGATTAAAAAGTCATAGATAACTGAAACCCAGATGATCCAGAAACTTCTTTGTAGTTGTTATTTTCTCTCTCTGCTTCTAGGCCTATCTCTTAGCAGCTCCTAAATAGAAGTCAAATTAACTACCTTTCATTTCTTTTCTCTAAAAATCCCAGACCATTAGCAGGATGCAGGGAGCTCTGGATTGTAGTGTTGGGCCCCAGGAGAACTGAAGTAACCATCGCTGTTTAACTTCTATAAAGTTGTAATTCATCATCTCATGCAATAATTTGATGATGCTTGCAGAAACTCAGCCTCCTACCAAACCATCCGTTTTCATCATGAAAAATGGAACAAATGTTGCTTGTCTGGTGAAGGATTTCTATCCCAAGGATGTAAATATAAATCTCAAATCATCTAAGAAGATAGTAGAATTTGACCCTGCTATAGTCGTCTCCCCCAGCGGGAAGTACAGTGCTGTCAAGCTTGGTCGGTATGAAGATCCAAATTCAGTGAGGTGTTCAGTTCAACACAACGGTGAAATGGTGCACTCCACTGAGTTTGAATTGAACACAACTTCAGTTGGTAGGTATCTGGCTTCAAGGGACTGGAGATTGTAGGGAAGGGAAGTTGTGGGGAAAGAGAAGTTAGAGATTGAACTCTGGACATATCATCTTCAATTTAGCATTGTGCTGGGGGAAAAAAAAAAAACTTAGAGTGCTCATCATTGAGTGGGAAGGAAATGCTTGCATCCCTAGGTGGGATCTAAGATAAAGTCTCATCTCACCCCATCTCTGCACTTCAACCATTGCACCATTCTTTTTCATACAAATGACTGTCCTGCTACTATGGTCTGACATTGAAGTTTCAGGTGCAATTTGCTCCAGCAGTAAATAGGGCAGCCCAACCTGTCATGGGATTAAGAATTCTTGCCTGTTAGAATATGCCAGGATGTTGGCCTTCTGGTGCCAAAAAGCCCAGAACAGGAAGTAGGCTGGCTGGGTAAACAGCCATAGGACCTTAACTAAGTTATACTCCCTGGTCCTCAGTTTATTTACCTTAAGTCTCAGCTGCTTTTAAAATACAAAAATCCTTTGAGGGGCTGGGGCTGGGGCTCAGTGGTAGAGGGCTTGCCTCGCACATGTGAGGCACTGGGTTCGATCCTCAGCACCACAGAAAAATAAATAAAGAAATAAATAAAGATATTGTGTTCATCTACAACTAAAAAAAATTCTTTTAGTTTAAAAAAAATCCTTTGAGTCTCTCAGTTGCCAATGTAACCTTGACCACTGCTGTTTGTTCCAGATAATCAAAATCAAGTGAGTCCTAAAAACAATTCTAAAACTTCAGAGAGCTGCCATAAACCAAGAGGTAAGTTCAAGTCAAAGCACCATTTTCAGAACTGAGGATGGAAGTAAACTCTGTAGTCCTCAACTGGGACCAAAAAGCATCAGATCACCAAAGAAAATAAAACTTGTCAAAAGAAGGGAAAGCCAGTTGGTTGACTTCCCCAGCACAGCTCGCCTGGCTGCCAGTATGGGTTTCTAAAACTTGCCTGGCTGGGTGGGAGCAGCAGCCTGAGGTCCCTGGTGCTCTCCTGCTCCAAGCAGAACTTGCAGGACAGAAAGAACTATGGTGATTTGGGGCAGGCTGGCATCCGTGTTGTAGACCCAATTTCTAGGAGGGACTTTAATCTGTTGTAAAGCCACCATCTTCACTCTTGTTCCACCACAGTGCATGCTGAGAAGGTGAACACGATGTCCCTCACAGTGCTAGGACTACGAATGCTGTTTGCTAAGAGCATTGCCATCAATTTTCTCTTGACTGCCAAGTTATTTTTCTTCTAAGGTAAGAATTAGCTGCTTCTTATTCCCACCTCCACCCAAGTTATACTGTACGTAGGAGAAAGAGCTTTAGACATGGTAAGAAACCAAGAAGCCCTGGGAAGGGAATAACACATAGAGATGTACTTAGAATTAACAAGGCCGGCCATCTCAGTCACTCAGTATAACATCCCTTCTCCTGTTATCCTTTTATTTTAATCCAGACTCAAAACCTGTTATATATTATAAGGTATTTTTTTCTTAATATGCCAGCCAATAACTACCACTTCCACCCCTGGGAGAAAATCAAAACTAAATAAGGAGAATTAGTCTTTTTAACATTATTTTGTTTATTCAGCCAAGGGATCATGGGTTATTTGCAAGGCCATAAGTAGAGCTCCTTCACCTAAAGAACGTTCAAGGGTGAACATGCACCCCCATTAGTAGTGAAAAGTCACTGTTAGCTACCCAGCATTCACACAAAGTCAAGGCTGTGATATTAATTATTTGCCTCTTACTTGCATCCATTTTCAGGCAATCTAGTATATATTCAAGCCTGGGACTAGGCTTGAAGCTCCCATCTCTCATTCTTTTTCCAATCAAAATCCAAATATTCACCAGTCCCAGCTCCTATTCTAGGAACAACCCTAGACCTAGAGTGTTGGGCTGTTCTGCCCCAAACAGTAAACATACCCAGTTATTCTCAAATGGGTGTGCATCCCCACCTGCCACTTTACTAACAATCCCAGGACCACAAGCAGCAAGGGTATATAAGTAGTGCTATTCTAGGAGTCAGAAGACCTAAGTTTTAGTCCTACCTTTGTCACTAACCCACTGCATTACGTTAGCTAGGTTCCTTCACCTCTGTGGACCCAGGTTTTAAGAATGACTGCAAGATAGCAAATGGGTTTCATGACTATACTGAGTAAGAGTAGCTGGACTATTGCTGTGTTTAGAAGAGATACGTGACATGCAATCTATGAGCAATGTCTGCAGTGATACAGCAAATACCCTCCATCCTCAGGTAATCAGTCCTACAACTCCTTCCAGACTCACTGACTGTGGTTCTATAACAACTTTCCTTCACTTGCAGGCTGACTGGCACGAGGAAGCTGCGCTCCCAGAAGGAAACCAAAAGCTTGCGAAGACGCTGTCTCCTAGGCTTCGGCCTTATTTAAACTGCTGCTAATCAAACCAATTTCCCGTTAAAGGCAACAACCCCACTTCATTCTTAGCCTGGTAGAAAACAAAAGTCCTGGGAATGGGAGTTTATGGTCCTAACTATTTTACATGCTGCTTTATACAGTGACTGAAAGATATAAAAAATATATAAGACCTATTTTATTTTATTCGTATACCTGATACACTTTGAAAATGATCTTTCATTCCATTTTTACTTTCTTTAATTCAACAAATAGAAAGAGGGGAGCAACAGGTCACCAACTCCATTCCCCATGAGGAAAATAGTCCAGGAGGAGGAAAACTGGTGTCCCTTTACCTACACAGGGAAGGCTCTGCTCAGCCCAGCACTAGATTTGTCCCAAACCAGCATCCTTGTGTTCCTCTCCTGTGGTTTACTCCACCCTCTATATTCACACTAGAGATTTGACATGGCAGTAAGGGGTGGAGGGCCAATTTCAGCACTTTCTGCTTTTCCTGGTACTTTACAAATGAAATTACATTTGACTTCCCTAATACTCTCTAAGCAGGCAATGGGGTTTTAAATTCTCATCTAAATACTCTCCATTCTATTAGCAAAGATCAGAGTAAAATACAAAGGAAAGGCACTTCTTTCTGTTAACTGATTTAACATACATGGACTGATTCCCTCTAAGTCTCAAGCACTGGACTGAGAGAAGATGAATAAGATATGGGGCCTGCTTTCAAGCAATTCATTATGCAAGTGTGTTTGGAGTGAGGGATAGGAGTGAGACCTCTATTTTCCCTGATATATATATATATATATATATAAAATCTTCTGCCTGTCAATCTATACCCAGGGAATTTGAGATCATCAGACAGACACTGATTCTTTTGCACGGGCCTTTAATGTTGCTGGTTTTCTGCCTTTTGTCTTAGCCCTCATCTCAGTTGCATTTATTAAACAGCATCATGTGCCACCTCGCCTCTGGCTTTATTCATTGCAGACCTCTGTGGGGGGAAAGTCAGATCGTGTAAACTCACTATTAGTCAGCCAAAAGCCAAACTGCACTTATAGGTCACACCACAGCTTCCTGGGCCCCAAGCCCGAGGCTCATGCCTGGGGAATTCAGCCCTGAGTTTCCTGCTGCTGCTGCAGCTGCTGTTAGAGCAATAACAATAGCTGAGCCGCAGTGTGGCATTGAGACCTGCAACTCCCACCTCAGCAAGGTCACAGCTTTGTCCACATACACAAGCTCAGGTAGCAGAGCCCTAGCAACACAGTACTGTGGTTCCCTCCTCTTGTATGTGTGTGTGGAGTGCCAAGCAAGCAGTATGCCTCTCCAAGAGAGTTTACCTCACCAATAACTGCCCCTGCCATCACCAACTGCAAACTCCCACATGAAGTCTTCACAACCCAAAGGAAAGGAGGCCTAGCACATTAAGAGACAATAGGCCTAGATGGATACCTAGATGGATACGCCAGGTCCAGGGAAAAACAAAAGATTCCATGCAACTTCCCCCTGTATATATAAAGAATGCCTATTTCCAAAGCATTCACTCCTGTTACCTTGTATAACATGAGAATATTTCTCTGAAGTTGCTAGGAATGAAAAATGTATCCTCATTTTACAGATGAAAAAAAAAATTGTCCCCTCAAAGAAGTAAGTACTTCGTCCAAAGTCATTCAGTGAGGCAGGGATACAGCTAGGGGCACAACCAAGACCTCAAGACTGTTAGTCCAAAATTTCTGCACATTGTATCCCAAAATGAGGACAAGAAATCAGTCTGAATATCAGTTAGACTGCACTTTAGGACAGTCCTATAGTCCCCATCCTTTAGCGTATGCACCAGAAAAAATAAAAATAAATTAAAAAATAAAATATATATATATATATATATATCCTAGTACATCACAGGACCATGGAATTTTTTCCACTTGAAAGAGCCTCAAGTAAAGATTTAAGGTCAGGCATTATGGTGCATGCCTGTAATCCCAGCAACTTAAGAGACTGAGACAGGAGGATCACAAGTTTGAGGCTAGCCTTGGCAACTTAGCAAGATCCTGTCTCAAAATTAAAAAGAAATAAAAAAGACTGGGGAATATAGCTCAGTAGTAAAGTGCCACTAAGTTCAATCCCAGTATCATAAAGAAAAAAGAAGAGATTTAAGGAAAGAGCCAAGGAACATTTGTTTGCCTTCAGATCTGGGGCCACTATGTATGCTGGTTGAGTGATGCACTCAGTAAGCAGCAGAAAAGAAGCCCCAGGAGATGAACTACTTGCCCAAGGCCTGTGGCTCCCTCACCCCATGCTCTTTCCATTGTTCCATATAGGGTTACTCTCTGCCTACTATCTTCTAAGAGCCAGATAAACTGCTGCCCAAACTGCCCACTGCTAAAGCCTCCTGGGGTGCACCGCAGGAGACAGCCCTAGACGGCACCACAGCATCCCTGCCTGTTAGTAACCAGCTATAAGGCACTGGGAATATTTGTCCCCCACCTCTCTAGACTTAGTGTATTTCCTGTAGAACAATGTCTGAGGTCTCTTCCATGTCTAGGATTATCTCTACTAACTCCAACAGTTCTTTTATGACAGAGAAGCCAATAGAAGTAGAGGGAGGAAGGACTGAGCCCCAGGGACTGAGGATATATCTATTTCAACACCAACAACTCAGTTTTCCCTGGAGAACATGATGTCTCATGGGCACAGCACTGAGCTCCAAACTCAAGGCCTTGGAAACTGGAATTCTGGGATTTGGAGATAACTGTGTAGGAGAATCTGATGATCTTTATGAAAGAAAAAACATGTTCTCCAAATATGGTAAGTAAAAAGGAGGTATCAGAAAATATCAAGGAGAAATAAGGTGACTAGACATAACAAGATGCAGAAAGAAGGGAAATCAAGAAAAAGTTTTTAAAGTAAATGAATTTTTTGTCCAATTTGATTCTTAAAATGAAAACAGACGAATTCATAATAATAAATCTAATGATGGAGGTTAAAATAAAGTACTGCTGATGACCTCTCCTTAGACTGACTCTTCACCTGTGCCTTTCTGATCCTCCTCACAGCAAACACAGCACAGACTTGGGGACCCAAAGATAATGCTCCCTCAAGCCTGCAGCTCTCCCTTGCCAACACAAGTCACTCAGATGACAAAAGCCCACTGAAAAGAAGTGGAAGAAGCTCTGCTCCTCACAGGCCAGGGTGTTTCTGTGGACGTGATCAGGTTTTTTAACTGGTCAGTAGTCACTTTAGGACACCTCTAAAGACAAGGCTGGAACACAAAATGACCAGGAGAAGGATGCTAGCTCTAGGTCGTGGCCCTCCCTGAGAGGTAGCTCTGCAGAGCTGTTCCCCAGAGGTTTGTGTGCAGACTTCCTGGGCACCTGCATCACCGTGGGATCCACAGCACAATAGTAAGTGGCACTGTCTTCCAGCCTCACTTGGGATATCACCAGGTGGAAGGTTTTCTGGGTCGGATTGTGCTTCACAGAAAATCGGCCTTGAGCAAAATCTGCATATTTAGATCTGGTGTTATCCTTATAAAGGATAAACTGAAAGGACCCCTCTGACCTTTTTCGGTACCAGTACAAATCTGGATTTGAGAAGCTAACATCATAAGTGCAGGGCAACATTAGCTCACTGCCACTTAACACCGTCTGGTCTTCAGAATTCTGGGTCACCTGATTACACAGCATGCCTTTGTCTGAAAAGAGAAGAAATGAGAAAAATAGTGAATTCTGTACTCCCTACCACCAAGTCCACTCAAAACCCCCAGCTCAGAGGAACCCAATGGGGAGAGACAAGAGAAAGACACAAATGAAAGGCAGAGGCAGAGAATGACTGCAAAACCAAGTTTCCAAGAGAAACAGACCAAGCCTTTGCAAGTCAGAGAAGGAGAAATGGGAGGCAGAACAAGACGAGCACCAAAAAATGAATCCACTTACAGAAAAACAAAAGGCTAAAGCCCACAATAAGAATCATCTTTTTTTCATGTCAGGGCAGAACATGTAGAGTAAAACAGGGTTCCTGAAATCTCTAAGACCATCTTAAGGTTTTGGGCAGGAAGGGGCTGGGAAGTAGGCAGCCCTGAGGTCACGTGACTCAATGATTCTGTAGCTCTGAGGCAGATGCCCCCACCAGGGGAACTGGCAGTTGATGATGTAGGTCCCCCTCCAACCTGAACCAATTTTTGACAACAAAAATGAGTTACTTTAAGATATGAAGGGAAAAGGAGAGAGAGAGAGAAAGGAAGAGAAAAAGAGGGAGAGAGGAAGGAGAAAGAGGGAAGAGAGAAACTGTGAATTCAGTGATCACATGCTTGGATATCCCATTGCTATAAAAGTAATTTATACTCCATTTCTGCATCTTCTGGTCACAGACTGGTACATCAGTCCACAAATCACACTTTGAGCAGCTCGTCTCACAGTACCTGGCACAGCAGTGAACACTTTGTAGAACTCAATAAATGAAGCAAATGAATGAGTGCCTTTGTAATACTCAGGAAATGGAATAAATAAATAATTCCCTGATTGCCTTGTGTAAAGAGGGAGAGAAGAGGATTGGACAAGACTGTTTCTAACATCTGTCCTAGACTTGGAAAGCTTTGACTGGGGTGCCTGGAGTAGTGCCCTGATCCTGAGAGCCCTTGGCAGCCCACACTTGGCTCCAGCTGGAAAATTCTCCCCACAGCAGAGCTTCCTGGTGGGGGACCTGTCATAAGCAGGTTACAAGCTCATAGTGGCTATGGGCCTGGAGTGGCTTGAGCCCCTGAGCTTGCCCCTTGTGGCCATATGCCACACAAATTATGGCTCAACATTTGGAAAGCACTGCTCTAGAAAAGAAAATCCTCACTCCCCAAAACCTAGGAGTATTCCTAGGAGTCTCTGTAAGAGTTCCTTTGTCTCCCTTTTTCCCCTATAGTCAACTCATCAGTAAGACTTTGCAGTCGTACCATAAAAATATCTCTCCAGGCAATCTGCTTCTCCCATCTCCACAGCCACCACCTCCTGCAACCATCATCATCTCTTATGGGGACTGTGATAACAACTCCCTAACTGGTTCCCTTATTTCTGCTCTTGTCCCTGGGTAATCCATTCTCCGAGTCTTTATAAATTGCAAACCCATGACGCCAGCTGGCCTTCTTTTCCTGGACCTCTACAACCTGCAAAGATCCAGCCCCTGCCTGCTCTCCAGCCTTGCCCACAGCTGCTCCTTTCTCTCACTCCCCTTCAGCCGTGGTGGCCTTCCTTCTGGTCCTCTTCAGGTTCACCTCTCTAGCTAAATCTCTGGTCCCAATTTTTCTCAAATATCAGCTCAAAGAGGCTCCACCAGTTGCTCAAGTAAATTAGCTGCCTGCCCCACCATTGTCACCCTCAATTACATCTCTGTTCATCTTTTCCCACACATCGCCATCTGAAAAATAAAATATTTATATATTTATTATTTCCTTCTTCCATTACACTCACACCATAATATAAGCTTCATAAAGATAAAGACCTTGTTTAGGTTTTCACTGACATGTAGATAGCCTCAGCCCCCAGGCTTGTGTCTGCCACATAATAGACAGTCAATAAATATTTTTGTGATAAAGGAATACAACTTTATCCACTTAAAAACTCACCATAGGCACAGATAATGTTGCCAGATTTAGCAAATAAAATACAGGGCACCCAGTTAAATGTGAACTTCAAATAAACAATAAAAATTTTAGTAAAATTTAGAATGTGCTGTATTTGGGACACAGTATGCTAAAAGAATATTAATTGTTTATCTGGAATTCAAATTTCACTGGAAATCCTGTATTTTATCTAATAACCTTATGCATGGAGAATTCCAAAGTAAATAGCAAGTGAGCCAAAGGACCATCCAAGGGGCCCCTGGATGTGGAAGAGGAAGGTTCACCTGAGCAGAGGCTGCTTGTGGCAGGGTCCCTTCCACAGAACTCAGTCACTGCAGGCAGAAGTATGTTTCAGAACTTCCATCTCCCAAGCCCAAGGACTCTGCTCAGTCCCCATCCACAGTCTTCCAGGCTCTGGAAGGAAACAATTTTCAAGCGGAACTGTTACTCCTCTTCTAACTGCCCAACTCAGTTACAGCTGACCAAATCCAACAACGGAGACATGGGCTTCATGGGCCTTCACATACAGAGGGATACATCCTGTCCCCTAATGCTTCATATGAAGTTTCAGACACTGAGCCTTGCTTGGGGTAGCATAATCGAGATTTCCCTGCCCTGGTGTCCTTCCAACATTTTTTGAAAGGTGTTCCTTCAGTAAGGGCACTTTTAGGAAGGTCACACAGCATCATGGCCAAGTGGGCTTCTGGAACCAACCTGGTTCATATCACATCCAACATCTACTTGCTTTGTGATCTTCAACATGACCTAACCCCCTATAAAATGAAGATAACAATAGCTTTTACCCTGGACTATTGGGAAATAAAATGAAAGAACACATGCAATGCACCTAGAAAATAAATTACTTTGAGTCTTAGGTATTGCTGTTGCTATTGTCATTTTATTAGACAGATAGATATAGTTTCTGAGCATTCTTCTCATCAAAGCTACTCACAGAAAAGCTACTGAATAAATCTAAAATATAAAGTTGTAAAACTTGGCAAAAGACATGCTATACCAATCAATGGTAAAGAAAAAGAAAGAGAGACTTTGCATCTTCAATTTGTTGTCAATACATAAGCACATTATCATGGAGTACTGTGCTCCCCAGACCTGAGCCAGATGTGCTCTTCCCAAATCCCAGAGAGCATTAAGAGCATAAGAAATGGGCCTTCAAGCCTATTGTTCTTAGGTCTTCCAAAAGTTGCAACTTTGGTATGACTGAGTGACCCCAAAATTCAAGGATGGAGAGATCCTCAAGATATGGTAACCACTTTTACTTAGTGCCCTTCAATATCTCCACCCCTTCTCCCTTAACCATATTGATATCTGCAACCTGAGATACCAGGTATCCTGCAGGCACCATGTCCCACTTGAAGCAAGACTGCCTTGTCTTAGCATAAAATCACCACTTAAGAAGGGCTCTGAACCGGTGGGACCAAAAGATGTGTCCCATAGTCTAGGTCTTGATCACTCTTGTCGCTCAAAAACGGCACTTTTCTTTCTCCCAGTGTCCTTTGGGGTAGGCCCCTTCGTTTCTTACCTTGCAGCGCCCTCTGCTGCTCTGATCATCCCATGTCCCTCACAGGTCATGCTGGAGGTTAACAGAAAGTAGGTCAGGGAAGGAAAACATTCTTTGTTCACAACTTAAATAAAAAATGTTCCTCTTTTCTCCATTCCCCATTCAACCCTGAGACTGGCAGCTGCTTCTCTGTTGGCCCAAAGGGTCCGTTCCTCACCAGTCACCCAAAGAGAATTGTCTTCAAGGATATGAGATCACACCCTAAGAGGATAGATGGATGGATGTTTTCATCTACAAAAAGCCCCAAACAACATTTGAGGACATGGAGAAATTTATTTGGATGAATATAGATGAATGGATCCCTTGTGAAAGAACAGAAACATGATTAAAAAGGAAAAGCTTAGAAACAATTGAAAAATGCGTGATAATGGGGTGAATCGTCCAGAGAAATTTCTACACCCCGTCTTCCTGCTCCACAGTCTGTTCCAAGATCCTGGGGGCAGAAATGGTCTTCTTCACCTTGGTGGGAAGCACACCAGGGAAGGACCAGGGCCAGCAGATATCTTCCACTGCCCAGGCCGGGGCAGCACAGGGATTTTCAGGGCCTACAATTCAGGGAAACATCTTGCTACATCTGGACAAGAAGGAGCGTGAAGAACACTACCATGGTATTGTGCCAAGTGCCCTCTACAGAGCCGTCATTTGAAGACCTGTGAGGAGGAAGGAACCCTCCAAGGTGTTACTGCTGCTACCTCTGGAGCAGCCTGTGGAAAGAACAGTCTGGGCCCACCAAAAGGTCAGTGATACTTTTTATTATGGGGCTGTGTAGACCTAGCCTGCATTCTGTCAACCCTATTTCTCAAGCCTATAGAGTCTTTTCTCCAGTTTTTCTCCTGGGCAGGGAAGGCAAATAGGTTATATCTCAATTACAAGAAGTGACAATTGGTAGCGTCTCTCTGGAGCACACTGGTAAGGATTCTGAGGAAAAGCAATGTGTCTCTTAGTCCACTGTGAGAATGGGAACAAGAGGCAGCAACACTCCGTTTTGTATGTACCATCCCTGCTCTTGATGTCAGTCCCTGTAATGATGCCTGCAGAGAGAATAATCAGAGCCAACTCTCTGTTGGATTATCCTTTTGGTAGAGAGAAAATTTTTCAATCTCTATCTTTTCCTTGGCTTCCCTGGGTTCTCATGGGCCATTTCCCTTGCTATCAATTGCTGTTGCCTGCAGCCTCAGAAATGAAATTTTTTTAAATGAATGAGAAAGTTCTATCTTACTCTAAAATCATAACTATGTGCCACATCCTCTTTTGAATGACTTATCTACTATTCAACAAGGAAAATCATACCCTAGTTCATCCCATCATGCCCCTAGGGACAGAGACCACTTGGGGAAGATCCTTTTTTCTCCTGAGGCACATAAAAGAAACAGCAGAAGGCAGGTCTAGGAATCCAGTGTCCTGAATTCTTGCCCCAGCTCTGCCTCTACCTATCTACATGACCTTGAGCAAATTTACTTCCCAGGGCTTCAGCATCTTTATCTTTGAAATGAGAGAAGCAGTTCCCTTCCAAGTCGTATCCTCTAGCATGCTAATATATAAAATGACAAAGCTGACCTGAGAGTTATTAGTTTATATCTTCCCGTGCATGTTGTTTGAACTCCACATTGCCCAGCGAGAGAAAAGGCAAAAAATATGCCCCTTCATTGGAGGGTAGCATTGTTTCTGGGTTCAATATGTGTGACTCATCAGAGCCTGGAGGGCCAGGCCCAGATGCCAACTTGGAATCCAGTTATTATTGCATCTGGGAGAGATCAAGTGCTGAAAACAGCCTTTGGAAAAATCATCAATTTTACCAAAAAAAAAAAAAAAAAAAAAAAAACCTCTGCAGAGTGTGTGATAACATTTTG